TTGCACTTCTGTGTATTCTTCAAGCTACACTCAACATTTCACTGCGACTGGCTTTTTGTGAGTCAATTTACATTTTCGTTGTAATGTGACCATAAATTCACCATCTGAATAATATAAGAACAGAAATGACAGAGAATTACTGTTAAAGTTTGAAGAATTGCAATTAATTAAAAAGGGTCATTCATATGGCACTCTGGTAGTGTAGTTACTTAAGGAAATGTTTGCTCTTACAGACAGTTCTGATACAACAACAACACCAGATTGTGAGGCCATTATTAAAAACTTGACTAAAGAAGAAGATATTGAAATGAATGAATTAGGTGAGTGTAACGCTAAACAGTATTATCATTATTAACATTGCTGTTTGTTATTTTCTTGAGCATAATTTTGAAGGTTCAGTTTTACTGTCCTTTGTAGCTCGCTATATCCAACAAGGATGGATATACTTCAACCACAGTTTATATTACGTTTCATCTACTAAAAACACCTGGAATGACAGCAGAGAGGACTGTCTGCAGAGAGGGGCAGACCTGGTGATTATCAACAGCAGAGAGGAACAGGTCCAGTATATAGGAGCAAAATCTGTTTCTGAGACACAAAGACAAAAGTGTAAAACTCAGATGTATTTAATGTTATTGTTTATTTCTTTTTCTGTGAATAAGAACTTCATAAGAGAGTTTAAAAAACGGACATGGATTGGACTGACTGACGCAGAAAAAGAACAGACATGGAAATGGGTGGATGGGACTACACTTACCATCAGGTTTCACACTTTATGTTTGTTGCATGACTCTTTAATAAATTATTATTGGTAACTTGCATTTTAAGATAAAGTGTAGGTGTAAATTCTTGTCCTCATGTGTAGTTGTTTGTTCAGTATACCATGACTTCAGTGTCAGTATAAAATGGTTAGTCTTTTTTTCTGTTTTTGTGTTCAGCTTCTGGTACATCGGTGAGCCTAACAGTCTTTTTCAAGATGAAGATTGTGGAGAAATCTATTTCTATAAAAGTGAAAACTCCTGGAATGATACACCGTGTGACACAAAAAAAGTCTGGATTTGTGAAAGAAAAATGTAGAGATAATTAAACCACCAGAAAATAATAAGATGTAAAATCATGACAAATAAATGTATTCATATAATATCACCATTCATTTCAGGTAGTCAGCTGATTTTAAGTGAAAGCAGAGAGGCAGAAGAAAAGACAACCAACATAATACTTTGTTTATAAAGTTGGTGTGCAGGCTGTTGTCTGTATGTCATACACAGAAAAATATTTAAATACTGTTCAAATTATGTGATTATCTTCTTTTTTATACATATGAAATATACCTCTGTCCCAGAGTTTTCTGCCATAAGTGGTACAAAAACTTTCCATACATGTGTTGGCAGCACTGATTTACTTTGAGCAAACATAATCATGTGTGTTTGCAAATAATATCAAAAATATTTTGTTCAGTACATTATAACAGCAAGAACTGTTTCTCGAGTTATGTGTGACAACATGAGCCTGGTTTGACTTACTGGAAAACAAATAAATGACTTCAGTATTTTGGAAATTAAATGAGGAAAACATGCAATTACCAATGTGGAAGATTGTCACAGTTACCATGTTTAAGGGTGCCAGAAAAAACACAAATAAATTGTAGATAGAATGATGTGAGGTTGCCTGACTGTCCAGACTTGTATTTAGTCTCATTTTGTTATGAATAAACTGCATATACTTCATTAAAAGGTCCGGAATTGCTTTTTCTTATTTAAAAAACATTGCCATTTTACATGCAAAATCTGGTTATGTTTAATGGTCTACAGAATTATGTAAATGGCATACATAGCATTACAACAGGTAATCATGTACAGGTACTCAGACTTCCCACAGCGAAAAGGCATGCATGTGGTTACGTTAATTAGGTTAAATGGTGATTCTAAATCTGCCATAAGTGTACAAGCGTGCATATTCTTAGTACGGGTCCCAAGCCTGTATGAATAGATAAAGGGCATCTGATATAAAGTCATTGCTCACTCCATTGAATTTAAATTCAATTCAATTCAATTTTATTTATATAGTGCCAAATCATAAGAAAAGTCACCTCAAGGCGCTTCATAGATACAGAGAAAAACCCAACAATCATATGCCCCCCACTCCTAAGTTAAGTGAGTTCCAGGAGTAAAGTCAGAAAAGGAGGAAAAAGTGGGATATGTTTTACTTCTGCTTTTCAGATTTAGTCCCCATGTAAAGCACTTCATGGAGCATACAACTATCAGCCCAACTATGATCAGTATCTAGACTTGTACAGACTTTACTTCTGTTTTTGATCATTCTCCTCCTATAAGTAATGGTGCAAGACACTTTTGTGGTATATAGTATAGAGTTTAATTTTTCACTTATAAGTACACCTCTGATGTTGACATCTGTGCTGTTTGTGTCACGTCATCACTACTAGAATTGGTTGTTATTTATTCTAAAAGGAAGTCTTAGGGTGTATGTTTGTCATGTCAAGTTTCAGATTTCAACATCACTGATGCAGAAATCAGGTGAGGGGAGAAAAACAGGACAAAAGACTTGCTCTGAAAGAGAGCCAGATATTAATAATAACTAATAATTAAATACAGAGAAGTGTAAAAATACATAGTGGGTTGGAAAAGTGACTAAAGAAGAAACACTAAATGCATCATGGGAATTCCCCAGCAGCCTATGCCTATTGCAGCATAACTAAGGTAGGATTCAGGGTCACCTGATCCAGCCCTAACTATATGCTTTAGCAAAAAGTAAAGTTTTAAGCCTAATCTTAAAAGTAGAGATAGTGTCTGTCTCCTGAATCCAAACTGGAGGCTGGTTCCACAGAAGAGGGGCCTGAAAATCAAAGGCTCTCCCTCCCATTCTACTTTGAAAAACTCTAGGAACAACAAGTAAGCCAGAAGTCTGACAGTGAAGTGCTCTAATAGCGTGACATCTTACTATAAAGTCATTAAGATAAGATGAGCCCTGATTATTTAAGACCTTGTACGTGACGAACAGGATTTTGAAATTGATTCTGGATTTAACAGGGAGCCCATGAAGGGAAGCCAACACAGGATAAACATGCTCTCTCTTTCTATTCCCTGTCAGTACTCTTGCTGCAGCAGTTTGGATCAAATTAAGCACTTTTCAGGAAGTTTACAGGACATCCTGATAATGATGAATTACAGTAGTCGAACACAGAAGAAGTAAATGCATGAACCAGTTTTTCAGCGTCACTCTGAGACAGGATGTTTCTAATTTTATAGATATTGTGCAAATGGAAAAAAGAGCCCTACATATTTGTTGAATGACTCCAAAATTCCTCACAGTGTTAATGGGAAAAACAAAGATACATTTAAATATAAAGATTGTTTTTAATACTTGGATGAAGAAACTTTGCAGCCATAAACAACCCGTTTACTTATCGTCTACGGCTTCCAACAGCTATGAAGGTCCATCCTGTTTTTCACGCCTCGCAGCTTAAGCGGCACGTTACTTCCCCGCTGGCGCCTATTTGTTGAATGACTCCAAGATTCCTCACAGTTTTAATGGGAAAAGATAAATTTAAATATAAAGATTTTTTTTTTAACACTTGGATGAAGAAACTTTGCAGCCATGACTAAATGAAGTCTAAAAGTCAAGGACGTCATCAAATATTTTTCCTCAATTAGACCTTTAATGGAGCCACCTTCAAATGCTGCTTGTTTGTGGCTCTTTCTGCATTCGCTTTTGTAATTAATAATGGAATACCATGCACTGTTGGGTTGAATGGCCATTAAGGAATATCTCATTTGTTTGTTATGAAAAACTCTTGAGGTTCTTCTGCAATATCCATTTGTACTGTGAAGTGCTGTCCGATCAGTGTTGCAACATTTGGCTGAATGTGAGCAGAGAGATCTGTTCATTTCCCAATTTATTCTACTGCTTCTTTCAGCACTTACATCATCAATAAATTCTAGTGGCCTCATTTTGCTGGCAGCCACACATACCCACGCCATAATGTTGTCTCTACTGTGTTTGACAGATAACGTGGTATACTCTGGATCAGAAGCTTTTTCCTTCCTCTGTAATTTTCTTTTTGCAGGACTATGGTACAAGTTAACCTTGATTTTATCAATGCAAAGATTTTTTTTACAGAATTTTGCAGACTCCTTTATATGTTTTCTTGCAGAGTCTAATCTGATATTTCTGGTTGACAAGAAAATTACAGTCAAAAGTTATGAATGCAAATTCAACACTTTAATAAATTCTATATATTATGTCTGCTTATTTGTTGTGAAATAAAAAGGAAGAAGGCCTCACCTGGCCATGAAACTGTCCCATTAATTTCAAACCGCAGAAAATTGGGGACTATGTACAAAAATTGCTCTAATTCTTAATCAGTTAACACAATTTTTTGTAAAACCCCTTTAATTTAAGCTGAAAGTCTGCACTTCAATCGCATATCGAATGAAGAGGCAAAACTACAATAATAGTGTCTTTGTCCCAAACATTATGGACACACAATCAATACAGCACAATTGCTTTAACTGAAGCAACTGAAAAACAAGTAATGCCAGAGTAAATGATTAAAAAGGTTTTAATAATAAAGTAATTGTATTTGCAAGTTGTGTTAAAGAAACATATTTAATCTATATTTTGCAAAACAAAATACGAACTTTCAATATAACCTTAACAACAACAATAATCTATTTTTTCATTCAGGTGATATTACATAACTAATAATGCTTCCAGAAGAAATACATTTGGTCATTATTATCTTGTTAACTGCTTTACATTTATGTTAAATATGTTGGCAGGATGAGGGTTAAAAAAGTGTCTAGCAAAAAAGAAAGCCCAGCTGTAGCAACAACATAGTTAGGATTCCCTACTTACTGACCCACTGGTGTAAGTACAGTTTCAGATATTTCTTTCAAGAGAGACATAGGCTAAAAACAGAGTTACAAACCAGGCTGCAGTGATGTTACTAGACAGTCCTGTTATTCAAAAATAAAAACAAAATCAGTTCATATATGTTTTCATCACCAAAGTTAAGCTCTTGTTAATAAATAAAACTACTTTTGTCAAGATAATACTGCAGCTTAAAAATGTCACCAGAGAAACAGGATACACAGGAATTAAACTCTGTAAACACTAGGGATGGGTGCCGGTATCTGGTTCTGACATAAACGGTAGTAACCAGACCGAAAAGCAGCGACATGCTTTTATTTCGGTGCTTTTTTTCTTGAAATGTCATACACTTTGGATTCTAGCCAATCATTTTACCTTTCCAAGGATAGTAGGCGGGCCCAGGAACATACGTTCTTTTAGAGCAGAGCTACAGATTAAAAATGCCCAAAGCGAAGCGGTCAAAAGTCTTGCTGTACTTCACAGCAAAAGATTCAAACTCAGCAGCCTGCAACAAGTGCTTTAAGGTGATACTGTGCAAAGGAGGTAACACCTTGAATCTGATGAAACACCTAGCGACTCATAGCGGGTTTTTTAAAGCTGAGAAATGCACCGTATTTGATAGCTTGCTGCGAGACCTCACATCGAGTACATCTACTGCGGGTGTGGTGCCTGTTATCGGACCTGGAGTTATCAACATGCCCCAAGAACCCGAAGAGGAGAGTCCTGGCCCCTAGCCCTGCCAGTGTAGCAGAAATGATTACGGATGATGATGGCAGCAGCAGCCGTTCTTCTCTGGGTGAGTAGCTTAATGTTGTTTGTGTATAATTTACGTTGAGTAGGTTAACCATGTTAATAAATTAATGCACATAAGGTAGCAAACACCTTGTAGTTACATGCGGCTGTCTTCTTGTTTGATAGAGTGATACCATATAAGCTGCAGAAAAGGCTAACATTGTTATCTTTTTACAAAAAAACCCAGCTATACATGAGAGGTTATAGGACAAAGTTTGTGTTCTCCATTCTTTAAGCACCGGTTTGAGCACCGTTTAAGCACCGTTTCAAAAGTACCGGTTTGGCACTGGTATTGGATAAAACCTAAACATACCCATCCCTAGTAAACACCAGTCACCAACATAAAAACACAAGTCATTGTCACAGTCCTGGGTCGGTGACCCAGTGTTTTGTTT